AGACACACGCAGAAATAAGGTACGGGGAAATACTACGGGATGGAGAGCTGCATCAGAGCGAAAATCGTGTGACTTGCGGATGGTCGATTCACATTACGTGCCGGACTTGGGAGCAAGGACAATTTGGTGAAGGCCAAAGACGTGTGCTGGTTGACATCAAACAAGTGACAGACTTTCGATGATACCAAAACAGCCATAGGCGAACAAACGAACAAGAATAGCAAGCAACAGCAGCGGCAGTCGTAAAAGCCGAAAAACTCGTTCATTTTGTCATCATTTGCATTCCAACGTGCATGAAAATGGAGTTTTACGCGCTCCTCGAAAATTCGCGGCGCGTAGACCACGTGCAGCCACACGAAAAGGATAGACCACCAAACACAACAGGCACCTCCCCGCTCACCGCCCCTAGTCGCTAAATTATTGCAGGCAGATTGTATCCACCTGAGAGAAGTATCCCCAGATGATGCGTTCCTCGAAATGCACTGCACGCTCCAACGCCTTCCGCACTTGCCTCTTGAGGTCTCCCGCCGCCGCCCTGACGAGGGCGATTGATTCGAAGCGTCGTGGTTTGTGTGTGTGTGTGTTTTCGTCCTATTTATTTTGGCGACAGTCCCCCCCTAGTTCGTGATGAGACGTGTAGTACACTCTTCAGTGTTTGTAGAGTGCTACACTTTTCATTGTATTTTTCGTACAACTACAACCATCCAGGGTCACACAGGAGGAGGTAGACACCAGGGCGTTTTTTTCTTCTTTTTCTAATATTTTTGTGCCCCAACTTCCTCCTGCAGTGCGTGCTGAATTTCATTTTTATCGCGAGAAGGGTCCAGCGGTCCCTTTCCCTCGTCAACGGTGCTAAAGTCGAAGCTCGGTGCTCACGAGTGCCTTTTCAGCTATTTTTCGCCTTCACCTATTTTGTAATTTTTTTACCCCATGGGGAATCGAACTCACGACCTTTGCGACTGGCGGTTTCGAGGCTTGGTCTTGATATTTTTCCCGTCTGTTTGGCGTGGATTAGTGTCGTTGTCGCCTCCTTTTCTTTTTCGGCTTCGGTATTCTATCGCAGTAGTGGTGGGCAACAGCAAGAACCCCAGGACGCCATCAACAAACCGCGACGGTGTGTGTTGCCATTCTGATGCGTTCAAACTCTTTGGGTGGGGGTGACCTTACACGATCGGAACCACCCAAGGGCAAATGAATGTAACCATTCATGATGCTGATTAAGGCTTCTCCGGAGAGAGTTTTTCCGACAAAGACGGAGGCGTCGTCTCAAGTAGCCCAAGGGGGCCGGGTTTCTTTGAAGAAGGTAAATGCTTTATTTTTGTTTCGACAACGACAGCACCACCTCCTTGTCACCATCCAAAATTCCGATTGAGTGAACGCTGAACAGCAGTGGCATACCCTCGTTTTCTGTCGCTGCTGTCTTTCTTCGTTGGTTTTTCCTGTTTCGCCGTTGTTTGTTTTCTTCACTAGCGCGCTTTGTTAGGCAGTCACTGCTTTTGTCTAGGCTCGCTCTCCTGTCTTCATTTTACCCTCCGCCCTTCTCATTTCGATAGGTGTTTCCGACTGGGTTGACGCAGTTTCCTACCACAGCAGTACATCAGTCGTCGTTGCATTCGTCGTTCATCTGTCGATGTTGGTGGTTGCTCTTTGAAACTGGTGTCGCTATTGTTGTTGTCGGTTTACACACTCACCACTCTAAGACGATGACGAGCTCATTGTTGTCCAGGAAGGAATCCTGGTACCGGATGATGTTGCAGTGATCCAAAGACTGCAGAAGGTGCACCTTTTGCACGAAACCACGAAATGTCATCAACCAACCGGGGAAGGAAGCAACAGCACGGCTTGGAGCAGAACTAAAACGGCATGAGGGCGTACACCATCGGAATCGAGAAGAGCGGACGCTTAGACTAACCCCTTTAGGGCTGGATCGCCTTTTGGGGACACTTTTTGTCGCCATCTTCTCCACCTGCTTTACCTCGCGAAGAATGGCAATTTTATGATTGTCTCCTTCTTTGAACTACTCGACCAGGGTGGTGCCGGGGTACACGTTGACGACTCTAGTCTATTTAGTATGGATGCTTTGTAGAGTGGAGGAGTATGAGGGTAATCAACAGGTCGAATCGCGGGGCGACTACGCCGCGGGTTCAACAGCAAAGTTGCGTCGCGTCTGTCTACCCTTGGATGGAAAGTGCTACTAGGGGTAAGCGCGGAAGAAGTACCTAGCCCACCGTTGACAGGAGGCACCGGGCAACCTAGGGCTTGGGTTAGAAGGTCTCGCTTTCCCTCTATAGAAATCTTGAAAACCTTCTTTTCGTGCTCCGTTAACCACGCTCCCGCCAGTCCGCAGTCCCTATCAAATGTCCCCTCGATCGAGGAGACAATTGATAGGGATTAAAGACAAGAGACGGCTCAAGTGGGAAGGCAGCTTTGCACTTGCACCCAGGGATGGAACTGTCTGCACCATCAAATCAGTAGGCGTCATTCGCTCTTTTTCTTACATTCCAGAAATTCGCAAGAACGCCGAATTGTCTGCGCGTGGTAAGGGGTTTAAGCAACAACATCAGCAGCACCACCAACAACAACAACAACAACAACAACAACCACGACAACGACAACCACGAAAAATAAAGCGCTTCGAGCGCGTTTTCTTGCACGACCGCCTTGTATGGCAGACGGACCGCCACTGGCAAAGTTGCAATGACGAGACCACCTACCAAAAACTTCGAAGTACATTTTTTCGTACCTCCCGCATGCACTTGGTTCTGAACTTTTCGCCCATGTCGGACATGGAAACTCTCTTGAGCGCCACGGTCTTCCCGTCCTTCTTCCTCTTGGCTCTGTGTTTTTCGACGGCAAAACAGCGAGCAAGCACCAACACCCGCGGGGGCGGGCACACACACACAAGTATCACCGAACGGGTGTGCACCGAGGGCGACGCCGTTAATGTTAACACTTCCCCCTAGAAACCAAAAACGCATCGTGTCGCCCCTCCCCGGGTATTGCTTACGGCAAGCATCAGCGGCCACCCTCCCTCGCAAAAGGGGGAGCCCGAGATTTTAAATGCATCTGTCATAGTCTGGCCGGGGCAGCCATGCGCTTCCATCGTCGTTGTCTCTCTGTTGCTTGTCTCCTTCTGTGCTTCGCATGGGCTGAAATTCTTCGAAGAAAAGGTGGAGTCGGACGCACAGGGGTCCAGGGTCTCCGACAACGCGCACGGCACCAGAACCCCTTATTCTCGTTCTCCACACTCGTGTCCCTCCACGTGATGGATTCGGTCCCTTTCCCCTCTCCCTGTGTTCGTCAGGTCTGTTTATTGCGTCATCGAAAATAACGGTGATTTGCTCATCGTCAATTGATGCCGTCGACTTCTATCACTCTCAGATGCCCGCCACTATCGACATTAGCCCACGAATAATGTTGTGAACTCACCGATATACGATCGCAAACTTTCCCTTCCCGATCGGCCTCGCGGTCTCGTAATCGTCGATGCAGGTCCGTTTGCTGTTGCTGCCGCTGCTTACCACAGCGCGAATGTCTTGTTGCTGCCAAAGGGGTATCAGGTTATGCAACCCGTTCGACAGGGCGGAAGAAACATGAATAATTGACCTCTATCCACCTCCTCGCGCTGGTGATGCTGTCTGTACCTTGACATGAACAGCTTTCTTCCAACTAATAGGAGGGACAAACACACCTATAAATATTCGTTTTGGTGGAGGGCTTGACCCAAGAAAGTGCACAGCATGAGATTTCAACAAGGCAGCACTATCTACTGCTGCTTCGCGATATTATTGTGTTCAAGGATTAGAGTAACAGCATTGGACAGGTGTGGATCTGCCGTCATACCCGTGTGCTGCAGTAAATCTTTCTTGTGTTCCAGGACTTGGGAGTCCGCATTGGACAGGTTGTTGCTGTTGTTGTTGTTGTTGTTGTTGTTTCTCACATTAGCTCCATAGTCCACAAAAAGCGGAGTAACCAGAAACGGGTATACCCGGATAGATTATCACCATTTCAGGGTACACTTGGAAATCAAGACGACACCAATCTCCGACAGCATCCGCCGTAGATCGCGGCGAAACCAATAAACCGCTGTCTGTGTCTTGTGTGTCCTGTGCCCCGGAAGCATGATGCACGAGGGAGGTCGTGCCCGTTTCTCTCTCTCTCTCTCTGTGCCTTTACTGATTAGTACCACACCGATACTCGCGCGTCAAGCGAGTCCGACCCTGTGTTGAGAAGGGCCGGTAGCCTATGGAGGCGGTGCCCATGAACGATGAACGAGCGAGCGTTGTTGGTGGTTTGGTTGTGGTTATGTATGTGTGTTACACGGTATGTGCGGCACACGTTTTTTTCTGCGGGTTTTATGCTAGAGCGTCGGGCGCCGGGATTTTATGACCATTTCTGGGTACAAAACTGACCTCTTCCGGGTACACCCGTAACCAATATCGGTCAAACCAGAGAGCCCTAACTCCAGCGGAAGTTGCACCCGATGGAGGTTTCTCAAGAAATGGGTACAATGGTTTTTCAGTCAATCAGCTGACAGCCTGGGGGTGCAAGCGTGTTGGTTTCTAACTGTACCCTAAAGTGGTGATAAAGTACCCGGGTATACCCGTTTCTGGTTATTGGTCCTACAAAAAATGGGGAGCCCGTGGTCTCAAAACCCGGCACATACGATGCCGCGGGGAAAAAAATCAAAAGAAAGGTACAAGCCACTCGGAAAAAGAAAACAAAATGATAGAAAGAAAAGAGCAGCTACCGCACCGACCGTTCGAGAAAAGAGCTATCGGAAGCCGATCAAACTAAAACTAGAACAAAAATAAAAATAAAGGAGGACGCTTCCCACACCCGCCGAAAGAAAAATCAAAGGGTAACGTCCCAGCACCAGGCACTCCGCACCAGGGCATGGGAGTAACGGAGCAAACAGGACAAAGAGGCGGCAGATGGGCAGACACCTTATGTACAAAAACAAAAGCAACACCAAGGTGTGAAACTGCGAAACTACACACATGCGAATATTCCAGGATTCAATCGTTGAAACACGCTTCAGTTTGGAATTGGTTGTTGATGCATTTTCTGAGCGAGCGCCCCATCCATCATGCTCGGCTGTCACTCCATCAGCTACCGAAGCCAGCAACGCTACTCAAAGTGAGTTTAAGTGGATCCACGAGAAAGCATCCCCACCCGCGTTCAACACCCTTCTACGCGTACAGACAGTGAGTGGTCGGTTACGCCACGCTGCCCGTCATCCATCACTATCGTCTGTGTAGACTGTAGTTCATTATGGCGCCAACAAGGAACACTCACTCAAGTCGGTTGGGAGTTTAGAACTTGAGGGTGGGTTCAAATTGTTCCAAACAAGTCCTCGAACCCCACCCCGACGCTAAAACCGAAGGTTTATAGCCCCTGTTGGTTTCCCCGGACGAAAAGGAAAGCGAGGGCGCCGGAACGGCAGTAAGGCAGCAGTGGGGGGTACATGTATAGCCTAGTCCACTGTAGTCTGACATTAAAAAAAAAAAACAGAAGACGGGTTAATGGTATCCCAGCGCGCTCAACCAATGCACCTACTATTACTGCAATACTTGCGCAATTTCGTGCGAAGATTTATACGGTAGTCTAGGCTATGCGTGGGCAAACGAAAGTCTAGATAACATGTAGCAGTCTTCCATGTGTTTTTGTATTGACGGTGTGAAAGAATCCTACAAGCGCGATACGCTCTCCGCTCTTCCGTTTTAGACTATTTCTTCTACACTGCCCTTGTCCGATAATGCTGTTGCTCCTGGCGAATAGCTCCATAAGCCGACAGCCAGACAGGGTTCTTCTGCATCAAAAGGCCTAGACTATAGTCTAATCAACACATACATTCAGCAGCAGCAATTTTGTCCACGGACCTCTCCCTGTATGTGAGACTAGACTAGACTATGTGTACATAGTCTACAGAAATGAAGTGCGGCGCTGCGAGTGTTTCTTGCCTGTAATCCGTGCGTATTCCTGCCAGCTACAGTAGTATTTGAAGCTGCTGAGCAGCAGGCAAGACCGTAGACCACATAGACTAATAGTACTAGCATGAAGCACGCTTGGTTACTGCGAACCCGATTGCTAGGCAAGGGATGGAGTCATGCTTTACCCAACGACAGTGCAGCAGCTGCTGTAGTGCCGGCTTGCTCGAAACACCGACCTTGAGGATGACTCAAAGCCAAACACCAAGGTGTCTTGATGATCGGATGCGGGCTATGCTAAGCAATGTACATAATCAGGAGTGCACGAGACGACAGACTACATCGACTAGTCTAGACTAGATGCGGGCTATGCTAAGCAATGTACATAATCAAGAGTGCACGAGACGACAGACTACATCGACTAGTCTAGACTATATGTCCCTTAGTAGTCTTTTGTGATAGACGAGTGACTGCTGTAGACATGGCGATTGTAGACTATTGGCAGACAGGCGAACAGACAGACGGACAGACGGACATGACAGAGGGAATACCACACAGGGACAACAGTAGAGGGCGGAACAGAAAGGATAACCGATAGCGGCTGCCGACGGTTGTGATCAACAAGCCGTTGGTACGTTTGGCAGACGGGTACAACCCGACGGACGGTGGCTGCCTACAGCAGTAGTACACCTTTTTCGCCGCGTTTCTACATCGAAAAATCCAAGTTGGCTAAACCCGTTCGGGACTGTAGTAGTGCACGTACCACTGCCGTAGTAATACTATTGCAGCACCAACCTTCCACGGCTATGATCTTCGCAGCAGCAGTCGTTTTCAGTGCGCCGGCTGATTGATGCATCCGACCGAAAAAAAAAAAAAAAACAGCTTCGGTTGGTGGTGGCTTGCTACGTTGCCGGAAAGCTTTATTTACCGTACATGTATGCATCCACGGCAGCTGTGTAACCAACGTCGTAATAAGTGGGAGAGACGTTTCTTTTGCCGTGAGTTTCCACTCGGTTGTCCTAGAATTTCACCTATCGCACGCAAATCGTGTCAACTTTCACCTTGCGCAAGCTCAAACAGCGTGCACGGTCTCTCCGACAACGTTTCCGTGTGCTCTGATGCTCTGATGCCCACCAAGGAGAGATCTTGAGATCTTGCGAGCAAAGGAGAAACAGAAAGAGGTACGAGGCATATATAGTGTAACAGTGCTGCCTGTATTCCTGGTGCCTGCAGCTCAGTTGGCTGAGACCTTAGACAGAGTGCGCTCAAGAAGATCCACGTTCCAGCACCAGCAGCTGCCTGGTCTGTGTGTCGCGAGTGTTGCTGGTAGCTTGCCCCATGTGGGAAAAGTGGGAATAGAAAACCAAAACATTCGCGCCGAGAACATTCGCGCCTGCTTCATACTGTGAGAGTTCGAGAATCCCTGCAACGCTTGTAGCTCGCTGTTGTCCTGTCAATCGATCAGAGCTGTGGTTGTACTGGGTACTGCCACGCGCAAAAGGGCATGATGAGGTCTCGCCGGACCCACACCACGAGCGCGAGCGTTGAGCAAATGGTAGACAAATAGAAAAACGCAGAGAGGTGGATTTTTTACTTTTTGTTGCCGTTCAAGCCCCCAAGATCCCGATCCCACGACCGTCTGCGGTCTATTCGTTGACGTAGTCAGCTACAAGCTGCTGTATGCATAGAACGAGGAGCGTTGATGGTGAGCAATGTTTTAAGATGTGCCAACCAGTCGCCACAAGAAGGCTGAACGCCACCACTACACGCATACGGCTGTGGCCGCCACTAAAGGCCAGCCCGCCGCACCGTCTCCTGTTGATCCCGCTCTGTACCATCGAATATGAAAAAAAATACACTGCGACATCGGCCTATCGTTCTTGTATGTTAACGACCACAACATGCGGCCGTCTCTCGTGGTGATTACTGCCCCCGGTTTCACGCACCTCGAACTCGGGATGCCATGGAGAGTGGTGGCGGTCCTGCATCGGCTTCCCCTGCGGCTTGTGCCGCGGCTCCCGCTGTTGGTATTGCCGGAGCTGGTGATGGTGATGCTGCCTATCATCGTTACGCTCCAGCCCTACGCCCATGGGCATGGGCAACTCAACCTTAAACTGCAACTGCCGAGAACGTGTTCGTGGCGCGCTTTTTTCCCCCCGTTCTCCCGGCCTCTCGGCAACGATGCCCAAGCGGTTACGCGTCGGTTGACACTGGCGCCGGATCAACCCAAACACGGAGTGTCTCAAGGGTGTCGAGGATGCCGAGGAACGGTGCTGGGTTGGCAGAAAATTAAATCACACCTTTTCGTGATGTATCCACGAGCCCGCACCCGGCGAAGAAGTTAAACAACTTCACCGAGCACCGGAAGAGTAGGAACGACAGACACACTTGCTCTCGAGGTGTGAATACGGAAGAACCTCACCTGCCCTAGTCGCCGACAGATCAGTTCAGGCTGCCGCACGGCGTGTGGTACTGATGAATTGATTTGCTGGGAAACAAGCGGGGTGCGTCGACTGCGACTGCTGTGAGTGATTGACGGTGTCGGCAGCTGCTCCGGCAAATAAACGATCTCGAGGTCGTGCTCAAAGTTGAATAACCTAGATGACCGGACAAGAAGCAAATAGAAGCGACTGGTGGCTTGTACTCCCAATTTTGATTCAACTTCGCTTCTTTTGGGATATCACATGTGGGCCCTGCTAGTAATTACGACAGCAGGTGCGCCCGCGCTACCCACGACAACGTGCTTCCCCGTCGACTGTATGATCATGGTGCTTGTTGACTTGTTGATGTGCAATCCTTCGAAGTATGAAACATTCCGGTTCGTACTTGAACTCGTGTGTGTGTGCGGAAACGGAGACGTGAAGAACAATAAACGCGGCCCAACTTCAAACAGCCCGTTATACATCCAGGTGATGTCACCTCCAATGGAAACAAGGAGGGCAATCCATGTCAAGCCCTCCTGTAGTAGGAAACTGCAGTGCCGACTATTCTAGACTACACACCTGTAGTCCTATGTGGTATTGTGTATGGGATCCGTGTGGTGCGTATTGTGTTCTCTTCTTGCACGAAGGCAACATCACTCAACATGCCCCGTGTCGTCTAGACTACATTTCTAAGTGTAGTATCGGGTGGTGCCTTTGTTGTGTGTTTTCGTCCGATCTAGACTATTGGGCGCCAGTCTACACCGTTCGGTATACTTCTATAATGTTCGTTTGACTCACCAGCCAGGGTCACACAAGAGGCGAACACCTATTCTACTAAGTACAACTGTATCTTCACCGCTGTTGCTGCCTCGCCAGCTTCATATAACGCGAAAAATTGGGTATTCGGCCCTTTTTGTGGAGAACACCTTCATAAAGGTTGAAACTCCCCAACGTCTGTCGAGGACGAAACCCTCTTTTCCACATTTTCCCCTCTTCTTATCATCACACGACAAACAACGTAGACTTCGTCATTCCTTTTCGTCATCTGATTTGAAAGAACACGTTGGTGGTCAAACCCACAACCAAGATACAAGCAGCGTCAGAGAATTTTGGAGGCGATGATCGTATTATACAGTATGTATACGTGCAGCGGCGTACCACGGTACCTCGAATTTCATCTCTCCGAGACTCTTTGTCTTAGCCTTCAAGAGCATGGGGGAGGAGCCGAGAGGTAAGATGGCTGGATAGATGCCGAACACCTCGAGTTTACGAAACAGGCAGGCTACTAGGTAGGTACAGATGGCGCCACCACTGACTCCACTTGGTATGGAGAAAATACTCCGTTTTGTAGAAGCTTTTCAGCTTCTATAGTCTAGAACAACAAGACTGTAGTTGGTGTACAGATCCGACAACTGCGTTGCACGCGGCGGGTAGTAGCTGCAGCCCTGACATAAGAATGTCAATATCGGGTCTTCAACTCAGTCACATTTTGGACGAGAGCAACCGTTCGATGTACAACGCAAGCAAATTACATCTTCGAAGAAGGTGTAAGTCTAGGTCTGTGCTGGCAGACCCGCTGGAACCCTGAATGCGTCATAAGAGTATCCGTTTTTTCTTTGTTTCATCCGCCGGTGGTCAAAATACTTAGCCCGCCATTTCTTGCTCCGATTCTCAAGCCCATTTTGTCACCCCGTACTTCTTGCCACCACCGGCTGAAAGGACAATACTCGAAGCAGGAAACAGCGATGCCCGTCTCGTTGTGGCTCCAAGACGCTGTTCAGTTGTCAGCCCGCTAATAAAAAGCATCCCCACAAGAAGTCGAGAAGAAGATAGGCGAAGATTCTTGGACAAAGTAAAAAATGGCGCAAGAATTTGGGCCAAGCCGCAGGCGCCACGATAACAAAGAGCATTTGAAAGCTTGTGGCTCATCACCAACGCCAACGCCAAATCTACCATTCGCAAAAACCGTCACACCGCCAATACAACGGACACACCACTATGCTCGATCAGTCGCAAACGGGACGACGTCTGTCTCCTTGTTGGCAATTTTGGCTTTCTCTTCTTCCTCCTTCTTCTTTCTCCTCGGAAGGATGTAACGGACCATGTAAGCATGCACGAGGCTCTTCATCTGGGACGCCTGTGCGGACTGGATAAGGATGGCTGTCGGTTTCACGAAGCTCGTCTGTTCTCCTTCCCGTGCCGCCAGCGTCATCACCGCCGTCTCCTGTGTCGGGTGTGGGTGTGGTAGTTCGTGTAGGGAGTCGGGCAAGGAAGAAAGCCAAGTTAACTATTTCATCGCAGTGGGGGGGGGCACCTGTTGATAATAAATTGCAACCTCGACAGAGTCGTCTTATTTTTTAGTTCATGACAACCTTCATGGAAACCACGAGTGGCCGTCGGTACCCGATTTGCTCGGAACCCAAAACATCTTGAAGCGGGCGATGACGCAGCACCGTTCAGGCTCTGCGATGAAATGCAAAGCGTCAGGAACGACAGAGACGCATGCCCAACATGGCGGGCACTCGTCGTAAACCACCACACATATACACCGATATATATCGTGCGTTCTATTTTTGATGTGCTGTACATATCGTGTGTGCGTACCTCGTTCGAGCAAACGAAGGACCCGATGCTGTCAAACCCGTACTCCGCCAGGATGGGGCGATCACCGTCGGTCGCGTCGAGGAACTGCACTCCGTCTGCGCCGATCCCGACTACTACGGGTTTTTCCTGTGAAAACCCGTCGAAGTACGCCCGGCCGAAGCTGGGATTCTCGCGCATGAGGCCCATGAATAGGGCTCTTGCTTCCTTCATGGCGAAGAAAACATCAAGAGCAGCGAACTGGCGATTGGAATGCAGGTTGCAAGTTTGTGGGACATGTCCATACAGTATTCTACTCAGGTCAAATATCCTATGTGTAGGTTGACTACACATCTTTCGTTGGTTGGAATACAGCTGGAGAAAGCGCGGTGGTGAAAGCTGTGAATATCCTCGCTCTGTCGGGGTTGTAAATAGCATTTTCCCGCCCGTAACCTTCCGTCCGATGTGCAATCAATTTTCTTTGCCGGGAATATCGTACGGAGAGATACTAAAGCAGTGGCCCGCAGCTCAAGACGAACGTAAAAGAATGAGATGCGAAGCAGACCATTTGTTCCCAAGAACAAGCGACCGCCGCTTCTCGCGTTCCTGACGTTGGTTGGATATTGGTTGACTCCCCCATGACTTCATAATGACGCGGGCGGACCCCCGTGGAGGAGGGGCACAGTAGGCCGGTGTTCCCCGTACTTTCTATGCATATGTAGGTGTTAATTTTTCTTAGGTGACGAATGTACCGCAGTAAACTGGATAAGTGCTTAATTTATCGGCCATAGGTCGAAGAGCTGGCTTCTTGGAAGATTCCAAACGTGCTGCACTTCGCAGGGCGATGCGCACAATAAAGCTCCGTCGACCAACTTTTTCGGTCGGTATTGGGTCCCGCCAGCCCGGAATATCGAATACTACCATCAGTGCTGCCATTGATGAAAGGGAAAGTACATGATGTTAAGCCCTACTGGCCTGTTGTATACATGCAGCTAGAAGAACCGGAACCCCGTAACATCGGTGATGAAGAACCGACGAACTCCGTCCCCGCCTGCAAGGGCTGCCAAGGTTTTTGGTCCCCACGACTATTTGCTGACTTGCTGCCAGTACTTCATGACCGCTTGAACGGATGGTGTTTCTTCACGAGATTCTATTGCTTTGAACGATCCTTGTCTCACTTTTGTGTTCCGCACTGTTCTCTATTTCTCTTTTACCTTCTTGCTGATACCCTTCAGGCTCATCATGTAGTACGCCAGGATCTTGTTGGCAAGGTCCTTCGTCCCCCTGAACTCATCCCCTTCGGGCTGGGCTAGAATCTACCGTATGGGTGTCGAAGAATACAAGATGTGGCGCGAGGTGGAGAACGGCGACCTCGAAACATCGATGTGGAGTGAAAGGAAGCGTTATTTCAACTCGATCCACCATATAGAGATCATGTGTGCAAAGGCACGATGTGCCTTTGTTTTCGAGGAAAGCTCTGAACCTCGGTTCCCTATCACCTTTTTTGCCTGCTCACGAACCTGCGGCGGGACGAGAGTTGTAAGCTCTTTCTCGAGAGAGCCAGCTGTGCAGTTTTTCTTGTCGTAGTCGCCTCTGCTCGCTTGTAACTACCGTTTGATACGACGGAGAGAAGGGGGCATATCATGAAGTGTGTACGCAGATTTTCTGAGAGCTGATGGGAAAAGGACGATCAACGTGAGGGCATTCAAGGTGACGGCAGATGATAGACAACACGGCACGAAGTCGTTTTCAGAAGCGACGCGTGGCCTGGATTTTACGCTTGTTTCGTCTGTTTGTCGCCACTGCCGCGCGTCCCCATCGTGGTATTACTACGTCATGACATAGGCTAGTAGACCTTGCCACGTGAACCCTCAAAACGTCATGAACCAATGGTCATCCATCCTCTTCTTCCCCTCACTGACATCTACGATGGGAGGAAGGAAGGGAAACATGCAGCAATGAAAGGCGCGTTTAACGCCCCGGTGTTGACCCCTGTCTAATTCACATAGGAGCGCACGCCAGAGCACTACACGTGCAGAGTGTTTTTGGGTCCTAGTCAACGTTGACACGAAAACATGCGAGACTCTGACAATGGTGGATTCATCTGCCCTCAAGGGAAACTGGCTATCCAGGAAACCAACCGAAGGCTTCTTTGGGGTACCCTGACGGTAACACGAGGTATGACATTGTCAGTATGAAGACCTCAAAAGGCCTTTGATCAGGCGCCACCTCGCTCCACATGCCTGAAATGCCGCCAGCTGCACGCTGTCCTCCGTACTCACCATGTAGACACCGTCGCACAAGTCCTGAACAGCCTTCGTGCATGCGCTCATTCCATACGGTCAAATGTGCGTTTTGGGGGCGGAGGTGTGTTGTGAAGCAAAGTTGTGCGTACGGCTTCCACTTGCAGTTTTTGTTTTGGTGGGTGTGTCTAGCTTCGAGGGACACAACGCCGCGCCTCATCAGCTCCGCCGTTTTCGCTGGGATAGCAACACCGTCCGCCCATGCACGCAAAATGCCGTCCGACGATAGATGGTCAGTGCCGCTAGTATTGTGTTCTCGCCATCGCCCACGCACACGCGAGCCACTTCCAAGCCTCCCACCCACTCCTACTGATTTTCCGCAGGCGCACCAGCCCCGATCATTATAATCAATCCCTACAGAAACTCTACGATCTGCTTGTAGAATCCAGTATATGATGTGTTTTGACGCAGTATACAATGTGTTTTGACGCGTGTGGTGCACATCCGCTCACCTGCAGATAAGTGAGCTTGATACCCGCCAAGTCATCGTCGTCGGGACGCAAGTGTAGCCGCACCTTGAACAAAAGTTGGAATTTTTTCACCCCCGAGGTCGCGGCAGCCTGGGTTCTCCACTGAGCAACCTGTGCAGGGCGTGTGAAGATGGGCGGATGTGTTTTTAACAGAAAGGTTCAGCAGTTTGATGAGAGATGATAATGAGGGGCACCGTTCGAGGTCGAGAGCAGCTTGCTAACCGGCTGACGAGCAGCTCGGACAGATACAAGAGACATGGAAAGGACCGGCAGCAAACAGAAGGGTCAAGCCACGAATTTCACACATGCACACAATAAGGGGATGCAGATGTCAGCAGCCGCTCACAGAGAGAAAGATCTACGGTACAAGGAACCTAGGAACTCATTTGATACCACCACTTGCGAGACAATGCTGACCGAGGGAAGCGCACAAGCCAACAAAAAGCTGGAACACACAATGCCGTTTGGAAATTGTGCCGGTCTTGGCACACGCCATCACCTTCCTCGCACTTTCTCCCATCGTTGGTTTCTCACCCCTTGGGGCTATTTCACCGATCGCGCTCAAAAATAAGGAAAGCATGATTTAGGTATGTGAGTTGCATTCCGCGCCCCTCATTGCACTCGCGGGGTGCCAAAAAAAACAAAATGGGAATGACTTCAAAACATGTCGCACCCTGGTGTCGTGCCCCCCACAATTACGGTAGTCACCGAAGTCCCGAGCATGTCAACACCGAATATTGTCTGCTTCGGTTGCTAAACGCCATGCAGAGTTCCGCCGATATTGATCTCCAACCTCAAACCTCAACGTGTCGCCGTCCAACGCGACAATCACGTCCGGGGACGCTGTCAGCAATCGGAGACATGTTGCTGCTTGGAGCACGTGTTAGCGAGTTCGTTTATACTTCAAGTCTATGTGCCAAGAACTGGTTTGCTGGTTATCCTGTACGAAAGCTGTGAAACTGATCCCTTTAGAAAAATGTGATGATGACAACGCAAATATTTGCTCTGATGCATTCTCATTGGTCAGCAGGGTAGCGCGGTGAACGCTACTTCAGTATAAAATAATAACCAAGACACAAACACAATTGTTGTGTCGCGGACGGCTATCTGCTCCTTACCGTGTCCAATATCCTCTCCTTAGCTCGTAGGGCTCTCTGTCCGTCCGTATTGGTGACCTCAAACACCGTGAAAGCAGTGCAGCATTTTAGACCGATCTTGGATGCGATCTGGCGGTTGTTTACAAGGAGGTCATCATGAGTTTGAAGGATTAAGATGAGGCCGTCGTGCGCACGAGGTGTATGCATTTCATCAAAGGCGGGCTGTAAAGTAGAATTTTGCAATCGAGTAACTTTCTATGGTAGAGCAAACACTCGACTCACGCGTGTCCGGACAAACTTACCACGGATGGGTTAGATCGCTTGGGGAGCTGATACAACTAGGGGACATGGATGACCCAACACAATTCGGCGTATGGCATGCTCCACCACAAATCAGCCTTTGCCGGTGACTTCAAACAATTGGTGAACACTGCTTGCTACGCATGTCCAGTGTACTCGGTCTCGCGCAGTTGTGTGCGGACCAGAGACGTACAGCAGGTAAGACCACGACGAGCAACCGCAGGGGAAAACAAGAAACAATATATAACTCCATGAATGCCTACAACTAGTCTTAGCTACGCCATTAGCTACCTGTTTTTCCAGGTCTGTTACGGAAGTCCACGAGTCCGCCATGACTTCCACCTTGTTCCCGTCTTGGAGACGAACTAGAACGGGAACAGCCGACAGCTGCACGAGAGCCATGATTTCGACGTCGCACGGCGCTGCCTTTCGAGGTGCCAAAGAACTCTCCTACAACATAGATAATCAGAGCAGCGGGGTCCGGGGGGGGGGG